AGGTTTATATGGGATGGGAAGAACCCCAGAACAAGGTTAACAACACTGCAACTCCCGAAGTGTAAGGGAGGGATGGCTTTGTCTAACCTAAGGGAATACTTTTACGCAGCCCAATTTAATCAATCCAATTTAACCGGAATCATAAAAACATTACATAATTGTAATAAATTAGCAGACATATCGATCAAGCAAAACAGTCAGCTGAAAAAACAGCACAAGCTGTCAGCTTGAACTGTCTGCTGAAAACACGTTGCCATGGGCGAGATTCAAACCTGGCCATCCAGCTCTGAGAATGGCTGGTCATCTCAATGAGGTAAAGTAAGGCTCGTGCCAGAGAGCTAAATCGCTGATCGCACTTATAATGTGGTCCATTCATTTCAATAGGGTAAAAAAAGAAATTGCATAAAAAGCTTAATATTTCAAAAAGTATAACAGTTATGAGCACCAAAAGATATAGCAGGAACTAGCAGAAAGAGCTTAAAAAAATAGTTGACAAGAGCTGAAAACTTTCTGCAGAAAACAGGTGAAGAAGCTGAACATTCCGGTGAAAAGAGGCAAAAAAGCTAAAATGGATATTAGAAAATTTGCTGAAATCATAAAAACATTGCAAAATTGCAATTAATTGGCAGAAATAATTAGGCTGCACAACCTAAAGTTCTGCCAGCTTGAAGTGTCTGCTGAAAACATGTTGCCATGGGCGAGATTTGAACCCTGGCCTCCAGCTTTGAGAACGGCAGCTCATCTCACTGAGCTAAAACATAGCTCACCTAAAACCAGTGATCACACTTGTAATGTGGTCCCATGCATCTAAATGGGCCAAAAAAGTATCATAAAAGCTTAATATTTCAAAAAGTATAAAAGTTATGCACACTGAAAGATATAGCAGGCATTAGCAGAAAGAGCACAAAAACTGAGGCAGTAAAGAAACGGAGCAACTAGAATAATAAGGTAGAAGAATAAAGTTTAAAGAGAAACTGGATCACAATAGTGCGCCTCAGGCACTCACACAATTAAAGCTGGTTCTGCACTCTCTGTGATGATCTGATGGTGGCTGTTGGGACTGACTTTAAACCATCTGATGGAGTATGTCTCCATCTAGTGGAAGACACGTAATTACAGGTGGAGAACAACAAACTTATTTTGGCAGCTGGATTCACAAACACAGACATGAAACACGCAAAAAAAAAGGGGGGGAGGCAGGTTCCAGTTTGGATTCAGGAGAAAGACACCGTGATGTTTACAGATATTTTATTTTGAAAAGGTCGAACGTGAGGCCGAAGGAAGTTAGTAGGAAAGGAAAAAAACGTTAGAGGAACAAGTTAGCGCTGCAGACTGTGTTGATGCTGCAAGCCTGAGAATTAAAGACTGGAACTGAGAAATACTGAAGTTGTCATCATTAATGTTTGAGGCATGCAAACATTACAGACACTATCTCTACTTTCAAGATCAGGCTTCAAACTTTCCTTTTTGCTAAAGCATATAGTTAGGGCTGGACCAGGTGACCCTGAATCCTCCCTTAGTTATGCTGCAATAG